AAAGTAAAAGTAATGCTCCTACGGTCTTACGAGCAACGAGGGCATAACGTAAATCTGTGGTATGGTTCGCAATCCTAGGAACCTGTGTTCTAATCCACATTCTCTTAGGAAACCTCAATGGTTCAAAGAATATTCACATACTTCTATCCTTGTTTGGAAGAAATTAAAATTAAAATATTAATTTAAGTCAAAGCAACAAAAATTTTAACCGCATATTTTATGAAATCACAACTTTTCAACCCATTTTTTATTAACTTTTATTAAAATTTACTAAAAATTTGATTTTAATCCTCTAAATAGAGACTAAAAAATTCCTCAATATTTAGAAAACTCTAGATTTTAAGTATCATTTAAAAATCACGTATTATAACCTAGAAGTTAAATCCTTGTTTGGGCTCCACTAATAAATTTTGGAAAAAATAGATTTTAAATTAATGATTTTTTTGGAGAATATGTGATTACAAAATAAAGAAAAGTTCTAAATTTATGTATTATGTTGTTTTATTGAAAAATGTGCGGTTGAAAATTTTAAGAGAAAAGAGAAATACATTTGTTCAAGAAGCCCAAACAAGAGCTAAGAGCCTTTTTGTCTTCCGTTATGAGAGAAATTATAGAGTTTTGAGCAGTATTTTTTGGAGAATGCGTGGTTAAAATTAAAATTTTTTTTTATTGATTTATATTTAAAATATTTTATTGTGTGAATGTGTTGTGAAAAAGTTACTGTAACAAACAATTTAGAGGTGTTTGGCACCCATTTTTATGGAAAAATGAATTTTAGAATCGTAGATTAATGTAGAATGTGTGGATAAAAAATAAGGATTTTTTTTTATTTACGTGTAATATTATTTTAATGAAAAATGTGTGATTAAGAAGAAGAGAGAGAAAAATGACGGGACTTTAATTTGTTAAAGGATGACAAACAGCGACTAAATAACCACACATGTCAAATAATTATATTAATTATAATAAATTATTATTTACAAAATTTGTAGATATATTTTAATTCGACAGGGAATTAGAATAAAACTGAGAATTCGGTCGTTTTTCCAAAGCAGAGCAAAAGAAGCTTTAACTAAGCTGGCACGCATTACTAAGATGCGCCGACGGGGTTTTATCTACAACGAAGAATCGTCTCTCCAACAACTCACACTTAGGTGGTGACCGCCACACCCACCCCTCTCTTCCATTATATACAGAAGAATTGCTGACACCATGACCATGCAAGTGCATTCTTGCCTTTTACAGTACCTTCATTAATACCCTCACCTTCCTCTATTTATTGCCCATCTTTTCATTCATTATACTGCCTCTGTAATTTCATCCTCTTTCGTTCGTGCATGCTTAAGAAAAACTACCTTTAAAGAGTAAAAATATGGCTGCTCCGATAAATACTTGGTCCTTGAATTTGATGGTATTTTTTTTATGGACTCCACAGTTTTGCATTGGGAATTTTGTTCAATCTCAGTGTTTAAATGTTCCGGCATCGGAATTTGTAGGCTCAGTGAGGTCTACGGTCGAGGCGGTCGAGCAGGTAATGTCCATTGTATCCAAAATTTCCGGCATATTTGGCGATGATCGCCGGCTGTCCACTGCCATTTCTGACTGTCTTGATCTTCTTGACTTTTCGATGGATGAGCTGAGCATGACACTCTCCGTTTCTCAGAAATCAAAGGGTACCTTTCTTTCTTTCTTTTTTGATTTGCTTTTGTTAAAGTTTTGCATGTTTTCCTTTTATGTTTTGCCTCCTCTTTCTGAGGAAAAAGTAGTTGAAGGTCGTGTCATTTTGTGGTGAAAGTATTTGTTTCGATAAATTTATCCATCTATAATAGGAATTAAAATCTAAATTTTAACATGAGTTAAAATCAACAATTAATTTTAATCATATTTTTCATGGATTTCACAACTTTATAATCACATATTTCATCAAATTTTATCAAAATTCACTAAAAATCTGATTTTAATCTCCATCAAATAGGGACTAAAAAATTATTAAATAGTTCTTATTTAAAAAGAATTTTTGCCAATAATTTTCTTAGTTTACCCTTATTAATATTTGTACAATTTCAAGATTAAGTAGAAAAAGTTGTTATAACTAGACAAATTAAATAAGAATATATTAGTAAATGAACAAAACAAGCTCAATAAACAAGCATGAGTATAAATGTGGGATAATAAAATAAGGAAAGTAAGCCTATATTAATGGGACGAAGAGAGTATATTTAACAAAAATTTTGATCCCGAGAAGAACCGGTCAAAAGATAAAACAATGTTAATCAATTATTAAATTCGATAGTTGTAATCTGAGTCTTTAATGAATTTTTGAGCTGTGATTACGAAAGATGCAACCGAGAATAAGGTATAGTAGACAAATTCTGTTGCCATGCATGTGATATGTTAAATTTCACACCGATACTATGACGTGACTTGACTTCTATGATTTTGGGGGTTTGATAGGAATTAAAATTTTTCTTCTCTCTGTTTTTTAGTTATGTTTTACAAATTGTGGGTCTACTTTGGTTACAGGTAAGGAGAATAGCACTGGGAATTTGAGTGCTGACATGAAAACATGGCTAAGTGGGACATTGACTAACCAAGACACTTGCCTAGAAGGTTTTGAGGGCACAAACAGCTTTGTCAAGAATTTGGTGTCGGGTACCCTGAGCCGAATCACGTCATTAGTCCGTGACATGCTTTCCATGGTGCGCCCATCTCCTAATAAAGCACCGTCCAAAGGTGCCAGTTCTAGCGGCAGTGGCGGTCGGTCAGGTGGCAGAAAGCTTGTATCCAATGACCAATTTCCATATTGGCTCAAATCCTTTGACCGGAAACTCCTTCAAGCCACCAACGGTGTGACACCAAATGTGGTGGTCGCTATAGATGGCACTGGGAATTTCACGAGCATAATGGATGCTGTTTCAAGTGCTCCCGATTATAGCACCCAAAGATATGTTATATATATAAAGAAAGGTGTGTACAGAGAAAATGTAAATATCACTAAGAAGAAATGGAACATTATGATGATCGGAGATGGCATAGATGTTACAGTTATTTCGGGGAATCGAAACTATGTTGATGGCTGGACCACGTACAGTACGGCAACATTTGGTGAGAACAATCTTTAATCCCAATTTTCATCCCAACATTTGTGAAATATTATCCATACTCAAGTATTTTAGATAACATGACTTAAATAATGTATAATGACACGACCCATATTTCTTGCTAGTGTACATGTCTCAATGGGCTCCATGCTTTTTTCTAATAATTAATTATGTCTAGATTGTATAGCTACATAACACAAAATTGTACAAAGACTCGACAAAGTAGTGTAGGATTTTATAATTATGTGACACTAATCTCTAGTGAAGTAAAGAATGACATTATAATTGAATTGCTAAATTGTGTATTTGTTTGTTTTTCCTATCAAATGCAGCTGTTAAAGGGAAAGGTTTCATAGCACGGGACATGACTTTCGAGAACACTGCCGGGCCTGAAAAGCACCAAGCAGTGGCCTTCCTATCAGATTCCGACCTCTCGGTGTTGTACCGTTGTGGTATGAGGGGGTACCAGGACACATTATATGCACACTCGATGCGCCAATTCTTCAGAGAATGTGAAATTACTGGAACAATCGATTTTATGTTCGGTGATGGTACCGTTGTCTTCCAAAATTGTCAAATTCTAGCCCGAAAGGGCCTTCCAAATCAGAAGAACACCATAACTGCGCAAGGTCGCAAGGAGTCGGGAGAAAATACGGGCTTTTCCATCCAGTTTTGTAACATATCGGCAGAGTCCGATGTGCTAGCATCATTGAACTCTACACCAACCTACTTAGGTCGACCGTGGAAACAGTATTCTCGTACTGTAATTATGCAATCATACATTAGCAATGCCATTAGGCCTGAAGGATGGCTCGAATGGAATGAGACATTCGCATTTGATACTTTATTCTATGGTGAATACATGAATTACGGCCCCGGAGCTGGTTTTGGCAGTCGAGTGAAATGGCCTGGTTACCATGCAATTAATGACTCGGCTCAAGCAAGTACTTTCACAGTGTCTCAGTTCATAATGGGAAATACATGGCTCCCTTCTACTGGAGTTAAGTACATCGCGGGCTTGTCAATTTGACGTGCATTTTTTCGGGCTCTTGGATTGAACTTTGTATGTAGTGAACATGAAGAAAGTTAATTTTGTCATGGCATTGATTCGTTTTTATATGGGTCTTCTTTCCTTTGTGTTTCAGGATTAAATACGAATTTGGGGTGATATTTTTTTGTTCTATAAAATTTGATGATAATCTTCATTGGTTGTTCACTCGTATCGGCTTGTAGTAATTATACCATCAAACATTTTCTTGTAGTTAAAAACGTTTATATTTAAGCCTTATTATTCTAATTGATCCAATATTTAAAAAAAAAAAATGGTACATCAATTGATCTCACCCTGTTTCTTTATAAGTTGTTAAGTGACATCGTATTTACCCCAGAGGACTTGGCATAGGATAAAACCCTAAGTTGTCTATAATGCTCGAACCATCCTATGTTCAAGGTGATAAAGCACAAAATTAGCAAAGTATTACTTGAGAATTTCATTCACCATTTATTGTAAATTTAGCTGATTTTTAGTTGATTTTATTCTCTTTATTTAGTTGATTTTATTCCCCATTGTATATGCTAGATTAGTAGGATTGACTTTGCTGGATTAGTGGGATTGATCTCCCTGCCTGTATATATATACTTGTAATAATTTTTGTCAATACACACCAGAATATTCATTGAATTTCTTCATGGTGTCAGAGCTCTCTCTATCGTGAATAGAGTTTGATCATCTTGCTTACCCTAGTTGTGTTCTCTCTTTTATCACAGAAATGGAAGATTCCCAGACTCCTATCACAAAAGCAACAGCCTCAGCAACAGTGTCTGAACTGACGATTATTTCAACACCTGTAAATGCTATGGCTTAAGGTAATATGTTTCCTGCCAATGGGAACCTAATATCCCTAAATGCCTCTTCTCAGTTTCCTTTCAAAATTTACAATAAATGGTGAATGAAATTCTCCAATAATACTTTGCTAATTTTGTGCTTTATCACAAGGAGGTTCAAAGAGAATTTAAAGGCTAAACTAATAGTAAAACTTCATTGCCAATCTTATTTATGTAAGGAAGTGTACTTCCTTTATGATTTCATTTTTTTTTCACCCTCTTGATGTACTTCTAGAGATAACGTTTTCACTTCATTCACCCGGATATATCTATTTTTAATGAATAAAATAGGGTCCGGGTTCTCACCCCACCCCTACCTTAATTAGTCCAGGTGGAAGCCCAAAACTCCACAACGGCTTGTGTAGTGTTTCCCCTAAAATACAAAGAACAAAGTTGATTTTAGTCAATTAATTTAGACACCCCTTCTCTCTTCCTTTTTACACAAATTTAAAACTATCTAAACGTTCTCATCAAACCATACAAAGTAGATGTAGTTTTTAGAAGTTGTGGAGGTAGTTGGTCGCGTTGACCACTGGAATTTGGGAAGTTTTTTAAATATTTAATTTTACAACTTTTCAAGAAATGGCTGGTGGAAGAAAAAGTTTGAGCATAAAGAGTAATAATGGGGAAAATTGCACCATGTGCTATCAGCTTATGCGCAGGTTGATGTGATCCAAGGAAGACAACACACTTACAAAGATCTAGCACAACTTGAAGATGAATCAAAGACAAGATCAAGAGCTACGGAGGATCAAGTTAGCCATGGAATGAATTGTCTAAGATGCAGAGGCTAAGAGCTCGAGTGCAACAAGTCAAATAACAACTTATAAGTTGGATATGAAGGGGAGATCAAGTTTGGTGTGTTGGATTCAAGTTTTGAAAGATATATGAAAAAAATGAGCAACGTCAATGAAAACGTACATAACTTTCGGCTAGGGTGTTGGATTTTTGCTCATGAGTACAATCTAGAAACGTTGTGAAATTCTGCACATGAAAAAAGAGAAATCATTAAAGCTATGTGATCACAGAGCTTAGGAAGGGATGTGGTCACATACCTCATTACCAAACCAAATTGGAGGTTGAATGTTTGCTCTATGCGACCATAAGCCATAGTACTATGCAACTGCATAGTATAAAATTGAAGCAAAATTTTCCAAATTTCATAAGATCTTTTATTTTAGTTAAAACTCTAATTTTTGGTAATTTTTGTAATCTTTAGAAATTATTTTTTGTGTAGACTAGGGTTTTATCAAGTTTCCTGTATAAATGACTCATTATTTCCTTGTAAACACAATATTCATTATTATCAATTGAGAGATTATTTTGTGAGCAATATTTGCTTTTAATTCTTTGTTCTTCATTGAACAATTTTGAACTTATCAAAAATTGATTCTTGTAGTGTTCAAACTTTTCGAGTGAGATTTTCAAATCTAGTGATCAAGATGTCAACATATTGTCTGTAATTGTTGGTTGCGTGGTTCAATATTTGTAGGTCAAACTCAAAACTTTGGTTTCTTGGCTTTCTTGGGTTTGAAATCAATCTTGTGTGGATTTCGTAGCTTCAATTCCTTCGTGGGTTCGCATTAATTGGTATCAGAACTTAGGATAAAAAAAAAAAATCAAGATTATATCCTTTTCATTTTGTTTTAAGTCTTTATTTTCATTTTTCTTCATGTTCTTCTTCATCATTTGAGTCTTCAATCCATAAAAATATTTAAAAAAATTCGAAAGTTTTTTTGGGCTAATTTATCACCCATATCAATTTCCATTTGTTTCCTTGGTTTTGTAGTTGAATGTTCGAGCGAAAAAAATCCGAAAATTGTCACCAATTTTTAAGTTCATGATTTGAGCCCCCCCCCCCCCCCCCCAAAAAAAAAAAGAAAAAAAAAAAGAAAGAAAAGTCTATACCTCTATACATATATATTTTAGTATTGTCCAACCCAAAATTAAAGAGCCACTTGCTTGAATTAAAAAATTCCCATTCAAAAGTGTCCAATTGTTTTCTTTCTTTTTAAATCTTCTTAAGCTATAAATCTCACTCACGTCTTAGTTTGAATTCTTTTAGAATAAGATTTGGTTGAGTCAGGATTTGTTCTTTGAAGGACTTGGGTAAAGGCTTTGAGTGAGAAAAAGCAATAGTGGTGAGACTGATAGAGGGAAAAAGCCAATTTGAATGATACACGAGGGAATACACGTGAGGCAAATATTATTTAGATTTAGGATGTTTGACAAAGATGACTCCACTTCAAGTAGAAACAACAATCAAGTCAACATGTCGAAAGAGTTGATACGACGATTTGAAAGGTTGTTTGAAGATATGAGGGATATGTTGGATAGACAAGAGAATGGAAAGGTAAGACCTATTGCTTGCCAACTTACGTAAGAGAGTTCCCAATACGAGGCGGCAAGATAGGAGGGAGCCTAGGGTGGAAAATCGTGATGAAAATGAAGTGGGTAGTGATATTAATGAGGGGACATTAGTGGATGCCAAGATAAGAAGAATGAGGGATAGAGGTGCTAGGCATGAAAGAAGGGGAAGATATCTTGTTGGGGATGGAGTGGACAAAAATGTGGGTAACATCAAAATGACAATTCCTTCATTCAAAGGAATGAGTGATCCGGAAGCATACTTGGAGTGAGAGAAGAAGATCGAATTAATATTTAATTGTCATAACTATTCAGAGGAAAAGAAGGTAAAGAATGCGGTACTTTAGTTCACCGACTATGCTATTACCTGGTGAGATCAAGTAGTGACAACTAGGACGAGGAATTGTGAAAGGCCTATTAAAACTTGGGATGAGTTGAAGGCTATCACGAGAAAGCAATATGCACCTAGTTACTATTATAGGGATAGGCATGAAAGGGAGCTTAGAGAGAATCCTAGAGAATGTGATGGAGTTGAGAACCCAGTGGAAGGTAAAACATGTATTGTGAAGCATGTTAGTAGTACATCGAGTAAGTTGATTGGTTTGGATTTCAAACTAGAAATATCAAAGCTTCATGACATGACTAATTCTCAAATTGATCATATGAAGGAACAAGGGAAGAAGAGGAGAGAAAATAGTGAGGTGAATAATTGTGAGAAGAAAGTAGAGAGTGAAAAATGAAATAGAGAAGTTGCTAAAAGAAAAGTGGAGCCACAAGAGTGAAAATAAAGAGAATCTCTAGAGGGAAAAAAGCCAAAATTGAGCTTACACAAAAAAGGGAGTGAAATTGAGAGGGCTTTAGTGAAAATTAACAAACCCCTCCCTAGTTCGGTTATTTTTGTCTTGTAGAATTTTGAAGACTTGGTCCATGAGAAGAAGCCTATTGGTATACCACCCAAATGGGCATTGAGCATCGATTTGTGGATGAAACTAACCAACCCCACCCCAATTTGAATATTTCTTTATTATAGAAGATTGACTATGTGTTTCGTAAGGAGACGAAGAAGCTTTAAAGGCAATGGAAGGAGTTTGTATGTAGGGGTTGAAACACAAAGGGTTATGAAGAAAAACATGAGATCCTGTACAGCGTGATCACTATTAGTACTCAGGAAGGATGGGACATGGAGAATGCACGATGACTCACCATTGGTAAGGTATCATCATAGGTTAGATGATGTAGCATGTAGGAATAGTTTTTCACGTAGAGCATGTAATTTTAAACTCACAACTATACCTAGATTGAATGATATGCTTGATGACTTGCATGAGTTATATATATATATATATATATATATATATATATATATATATATATTCTTGTAAACTAGATTATAAGAGTAATTGTGAAATATATAAGTGGTTAGTTAGGTCATTTAAACTCACTAACCTATCTAATATATTCATGGGATTAAATAATCTTATACTGTGTGCATTAATAGAAAAATTCTTACTAGTGTATGATAGTTTGCTATATTGCAAGGGTTGATGTATGCATATTAAATTGAGAGGTTACATGATGATATTCTTGTATGTTGCAAGAAATTAATCTTGCATTGTAGGCAATTGGGATGCCTTATTGGTGATTCGAGGCATGAGTGTCTATATTTCAATCCTGAAATCCTTAACTCTATGGGTTCGAATTTAGGGAATATGTTGGAAACTAATTCAATAACTTCCACTATTTTTACTACACGTTCTGATATGGTGACTGGTTTTAATTTTCTAACTTTGTTGGATTTAATTCCTGTAACTATTGGTGTAAGTGGTAGCTTAAGTGGAAACACAGGAGATTGTTCTCGAAGTATCTCAAACTTGCAAAAGAAATAAATCAAGGCGTGTACTCCAGGCGATGATGATTGGGTGCACATACAAAAGAGGCAAATATGTACTCAAAAAAGGTCCAAACTACATC